TTTTTTTTTTTTTTTTTTTTTTTTGCACATGTACCATTGCCTAATCTGTCTGAAAATACCTTTAGAAAATAATAACATTGTATTGTACACTTTGTTAGATGGCACGACAGATGAACGCTACAAAATTCAACGTCGTACTGCTCACGACCCCTATGTTCTCACCATATCTGACGTGCAGTACTCTGATCGCGGATTTTACTACTGTTGTCTTCCCTCAAACTGCTCTGATAATGTCAAGGATAACTGTCAACGATTCGTCCTCCGCGTCAGAGGTAAATTAATTCGTTTTTCACAATAATGAACTTACTTCCGTCTTAAAAGTAATTTTCAATTTAGTGTACAAAATTATTCGAGATTGCTTTGGTTTTGGTTTACGTCGCGATGTGATTTGTCCAAAAATCTCGCGCCACTTACTCGACAACAGATTCAGGAGTTCTGGCCATTTGCTGAATGACGGGACAAATAATTTCGGTAAAGTAGAAAAAAAGTCGTTGAAAGCATGTTGTTGTGTTTGGTTTGGCAGATCCTCTTGGTGCGTTGTGGCCAGCTATTGGGATCCTGATTGAAGCCATTGTTCTCTTTGCGATCATCTTCTTTGCTGGGAGAAGAGAGAAGAAGAAAGAGAAACACTTTAAAAGGAACTAACGTCGACATGGGAATCATATCATCCCTTCCAACGCATGACAGTGAGACAGATAAGAACATCATTCCACGCTAGAAAAATAAGTGGAACTCAGAAGAGCGAAGCTGTTCTCAGAAAAGACATAAAACGAAATGCTCGCCAACATAGAAAAGAAAAATAAGAGCGTGGTACCCGATAAAGAATTAGATATTACTTGAGACGCATGAGAAAAATTTTAATGATAATATGTACAATAATAATATAATTTATTAAATATATATTGCGCAAATATCAAAAGATCTCGGATCAAAGTTTTTAGAAATTTCTTCTCCAGTGTATTTTGGAATACCTCCCATATCGCTAGACTATTTTGCAATCGATGCTAGTCTTTTTTAGTGTTAATTCTTTTAGAAATATTTCACTTGCGGTGGTTGGTGGTCGAAGATAACCTCATATTTATAATTCGGATAAACCGCGCTTATGAAATAAGCCATCTTTTTTTTTATTGAAACGCAGAGGTGATGGTCACTGGTCACATCGTTTGTAAAATACTGCTTATCAATAAATTGGTGAAAATAATAATTTAGACCCTAAAAATAATCAGTCTTAAAGGACTATACGGAGAGCCCTTGAATGGTTATTTATTACAGATGACAATACACTCCCGCACAGGCCTGTTGCGTCAAACAGCCTCAATTTCAAGTCTGTCAGGAGTTTCACCTGGGGCCGAGTTTATCGAAAAGTTTACAGATAAATTTAGGTGCGGCGAACAGTATGGCCGTATTAGAAAAAATTATTCCTCTGTTTCTCACTATTTTTGCAACAGTGAAGGCTCAAGGTAAGGGTGAATGTGTATTAAGAACCCTATAATCATTTACTGGTAGCTACGAAAGAACTTTACTTGTCATGCGAGAGCTTCCGAAACAAATCTCATTGTGCAAATGAAACTTGAGAGCAAAGCGTCAAAAACATGCCGGTTTACTAAATGAGTTCGTGAAGTTAAATTAGTGCATTCACCTTACCGTCGGTTCAAACCTTTGAAGAGAACCGAAGCTTTCGCATAGATGAATTGCGATCTCATAATAAGCATTGTTTTTTCATTTTCTTCTAAGCTTTGTGAGCGTTTAACTGTCGTAATGTACGAATAAATTTCGATCTCTCGATGCAAATTACGAGCTTTCTCTGGCAAAANGTAATTTATGTACACTACCATGACTATGAAGAATGTAACAATTCAGGATGACAGTCAGTACGGTGTTCTTGGAAGCTATGAGTGCCATGCTTTTGCGAAAAATGTAAGCTAACCAAAGAGGCATGGCTTTAGTGTCAGCGTTATTACAAGTAAGTCTTTGCATTACCAATGAAATTTCACTACTTTGTACTCTCACCACATAAATAAGTCTATTATGTAAGTCACATCTATCCATAGAGTATAGAATTGAGTAAAATTAAACTGTCAGAAAACAGGAGGAAATGCATGGGATGGGAGTAACTTTTCTGAAGACTGGCATCTTATTGAGGGGGAAAAACCCTACTGCCATCTCCTGTAAACCACTGAGAATAGGATGAGCTGTTGCAGTGTGGTAACTTGCTATTGTTCAAAGTCAAAGTTCCTGTTATTTTTCACTTCTCTGAACGTGCAGTTTACATGTAATGAGAGTGCCTAGTGATCATCAAAAAGTTATGCCCTCATCTTAAATGGTAAAGTACCTTTTTATAAAGATCCTTATGCAGCAAAATATTTCTATAAACCATCTCTATTCCAACAAGGAAACAAACTGTATTTACTGATTAACAAAAAAATCCTTCCACCTGGTGCTTGAGCACTTGGCCAATAATCTTCACCTACATGTAATGGTTTACCCATTCTTGCATTTTAGGAGATGAAATTCCAACAGTGAAAGTCCCAGATTCCAGTGTTCTAAATGTGGGTGATGACATCACAATCTTCTGCAACCTAACTGGAAGAGGAAATGAGAACAGCACCCCGCTAAAGAGGATTTCCTGGTTTAAAGATGGGAAATTGTTGAGGAGTGTGCGGAATCCAGATCCAGATGTGAAACAGGACTTTTTAGACCCACTGAAGCTTCCAAAGGTTGATGTTCGACAAGGGGGAACTTACACATGCCTTTTGGAAGTAAAGCTGAGGCATATTAAGGAGTACAATGTTACAGATGACACATTTATTAAGAGTAAGTACAATGCACTATTACAGGTGTGTTAATAGTAAGTTTTTTTTTCTTTGAAGAAATTCTCATAGAAGAGTTTAACCCTCTCCCTCTTAGTATCTCATAAGTACCATCTGCCATAGAAAGAAAGAAAGTCTTAAGCACCCTAAACAACAAAGGTGTCTAGTTACAATGATAAGGTTGAGATCGGATGTCAGCATTATCAGGTGCCTCTGGCAGCTGCTTCAGTCCATGTAAGGATCTCACCTTCCCTCCCATCCCACCCCAGTGGAAGACATCCACCACACAGTAATCTTGTGCATGGGAAATTAACGTCTCCTACCCCTAACCCTGCAGGAGACGGGGCCTAAGGTTTATTCGTCCTTATCCAAGAAGACTACAATATCTATCCATTTCTTGATATTATAGAAAGGTGGAATTTAAAATTAGTACAGGGGTACTGGCATGAGTATTGGTTGGGCCGGGGCTCGAACACTCGACCTCCCACACAACACAATCCGGCGCTCTAACCAATTGAGCTAACTGGGAGGCGGTTAGCTCAACTGGTTAGAGAATGCTTACAATGTTAGTTCAGGCAATTGAATTGGTAGTGGATTGACCAATAATCCCCTAATTGACATTTTTGTTTATTCTCATCACTTGTCTGCTTGATTTTGTATTGATATTGTAAGGAGAAATTCTGCCTTGGTCACTNTTCCAACAGTGAAAGTCCCAGATTCCCGTGCTCTTAATCCAGGTGACGACATCATAATCTTCTGGGGGTTTAACTGTAGCTGTACATTGTACATTATGTATGGCACTAGAAATCAACAAACTGAAGAAACCTGGGGCACATTTTTAAAAGTCCACATAATTGAACCCTTTCACTTTCAAGATCCTATTACTAATTCTTGTTACTGTTTGCCATTCAATTCTTATGCTGTTACTTTGGTGAATTTAGTCCTGGATCAACTAATAATCCCCTAATTGATAATTTTCTTTCTTCTCATCACTTGTCTTTGTGATATTGTATTGATATTGTAAAGAGAAATTCTGTCTTGGTCACTCATGGAAGTTAAGGGGTAAAACAGTTGCATTGTACATTTTGTATGGGCACTAAGAATCTGCTTGGGCTGTATTCAGTCAATTTTGCAATACACTGACTGCCAAAAGCCACACCATTATTAGACAAAAATTAAAGTACCCTGACTTCCAAAAGCCATACCATTATTAAACAAAAAGTAAAGTACCCAAGATGAAAATACAGTTTTATATTAATTTTCTAGAAATTTCTAATCTGATTATCAGATTAGAAATGTGAATCTCACATCATAGCTAGTTTAGAGAATTTGTTATTACATTATAAGCTACCACTAAGTCAATCTGATAAATCGCTGTGTATGAACATAGTGATCCCGAGATATATTTTGTTTAATTCTTGTCACAAGAAAGAAACATCTTGCTTCAGTTATTTGCTGAATAGACTGAGTTTTTTATTGGTATGAAGAGGTTATATTGCAGTCATGTCTGGGAATTGAAGGGAAAGCATTTAGTCAGCTGAAACATTTTCCTTGATACAACGTACCTGGGAAGGTTCATTCAGCTTTAGAGATTAGAGAATTTTAAGGTTACTCAGCACATAGTCCTGGTGAAATTTCAATGGCCCAATTCTTGCATTGTATGTACTGTACATAGACAGCATGTTGATCTCTATCTACCATTTTTTCCATGTAAACCAGGGTAAATGTACATGTACATCTTGTCATTAATCAAAGATTGCACCCCTTACTTGGACAATTCAAGTGTTTCCTGGTCATTGATTTATTCTAGTTGCACCTTGGCTTCCCAAGCCAAAGGAAGACATTGAGAAGAAGGCTTCTAAAGGAAGCAATGTGTCGTTTGAGTGCGCTGCAAAAGGATTTCCTTTGGAGGTAGAATGGAAGGTGAAGAAGAAGAATGAAGACACTGTTCAGGCTTGCATAAGTAAGTTCTAAAGATGCTCATCTCATCAAGGGCCCTTAAAAACAGTTCAGCACAATCTTTGTGGATTAGTCATCATCTGTCAATATAAGTTATTTATTATCTTTTTTTTATTTATTTTTTGTGATCAAACAGAGATAGACAGAGAAATGATTTGTTCTTGACAAAATAAATTGGTCTCACTTTACCTTGGCTGTGTTTCTTGTCAGATGGATCAAGTGAACACTACAAGGTTCATCAAGACACATTTGGCCCATCAATTCTGACCCTATCTGAAGTGGATTATACCGATCGAGGATTTTATTACTGTTGTCTTCCCTCAAACTGCTCTAAAAATGTTGAAGACAAATGCCAGCGATTCGTGCTTCGTGTAAGAGGTTAGGCTCTACGACGTGTACTTTGATCATTTTACTTGCTTAACACTGAACACTTTATACCCCAACACCAACAACATCTAGATTCTCCATTCTCTTCTGTATATACATTTCCTTTTTTACTGACAAGGAGAATTTGTCGAAAAATCAAGAAACCCTTTAGTTGGTGATCATTTCCTTAATTCTGGTCACCCTTGATGTTTGATTCTGGGTGGTCTTGTAAGGAGAAATGACATTCAATGTGTAGATGATAGTCACTGTTAGGGCTCAAGAGATCATGTCATGGTTTACAAAAACATGTACATGTATGTTTTCTTCAGAATTATCAGGTAATGTTATTATTATTATTATCATTATTATAAGTGTGATCATAGCGATTGTAATTTCCTCAAATGAGATCAGTGCATTTGCTGCTTTATTTTTCACTTATTATTCTTTTACAGGGTTGTGATATGACAGTGTAATCAGACAGTTAGCTGTAGTCAGACAGCTAATGTAGCGAAGCATACTGAGTCCACTCAGCTTAGATATCCACCAATCACAGAATTGATCACGATAACCATAGCAACAACCATGCTTGTACTTACAGCTTTACTTTTTTAGTATTATCAGCATTATGGTCATTGAAATCACAGTTGCTTTCATTTGATTCAAAATTGAATGATGGCATTTCTTAGCACAATATATTATGTGATTGCAACTTACACTACTGCTGTTATCCAGTCCTAAAGAGTCACTCAGCCCCCCATAGGTTTTGTTCAACTAATGGTTTGACCTGTCAATGTTATCATGTTGTTTTATTGTTTGCTTTTTTGTTTTGTTTTAACAGATCCGTTGGGCCCTTTGTGGCCTTTTATTGGTATCGTTGTTGAAGCCCTTGTTCTTTTCTTAATCATCTTCATTGCTGAAAAGAGAAAGAAGGACAAAGAAAAAGGTGTGAAACAGTAATGAACATGTATGATTCAATAGAGGCCCCCTTTACACATTTCATTTCTATTTTTTATACAGAATATACATGTACAAGTCATGTACTTGTATTAGAAAATGTAGTTAGTTTCTGTTTAATCTAGTTGATCAGAGCTCTTCATGCCCTAACTTGAAATCAACTCAGTCCCTGGGTCTCCAAGGATGTTCATTGGCTAGCAATAAACTACATGTAAAAGAAGAAAGTAAAATATCAACTAGTACATGTACACTGTAGGTATCAATTGATTGAACACCAAATTGTAAGTGGGGAGAATTTAATTTTAGATGTTCAAAATGAAAAAATTAACCAACTGTGGGTTTCTCAATCTTGAAACGTGTATTTGATATTAAATCTGGGCAGCAATGCAAAAAAAAAATCATAAATCAAAAAGACCTTTAGTGGGTGTGGCCCACCTGCAGTATATAAATTTTCTCTATGTAGCTTCTTTATGAATAAGTTCTTTTTTTTAAACGAAGTTTACTCAGCACCCATAGGAGAGACTATTGTACCCTTAAGCTGTATATAGATCTCCTTTCTGCCAGTGTCGGCAGACCACTAATATATGTTTTATTTTTTTCACCTTTCCTCTTTGTTAACTGATGCTGCGCATAAACAGCTGAAAAGTAAGTACAACCATGGTTTTTGTCTGTACAGTTAAATTCTCTCAACACATTAAGCCACCTAAAGCTTAAATTCTGTGCTACTTATCGTTTTGATAGACTTATGTACAAAGGGCTTTTGACATAAGATGGCCCATGTTTATGAAAAAGACGAGTAAATTTTAAATAAATGACATCTTTGCATTTATTGCCATCTCTGCTGCTCATCCCATAGTGTGTATTGTACACTATGATGATACCAGTATTAATTTCTCAGTCTTACATACAAACATTTTGTGTTTCCTAGAGTTGATGGTCGATTGGAGTTTAGTTATAGTTCCACAGACGACGGAAATGGCACAAGAGGGCAAGTGCGCTTGCGTAAAATGGGTGAAATCCCTGTTGCTTAGAATGGTTACTCAAATTGTACGTGTGTGGCAAATCCCAGTCATTTTTGTTGCTTTTGTTATAGAGCTTAAAGATGACATAGAAACTGCAATTTTATTTGAAAATACTGTATTCCTGAAAGCTGTTATGTTGTGCTGTCGAAAGTTAATTCTAGTTCATCACTGGTATAGGAACAAGTTGTAAGGGACATATTTAGAGGTTTCGTTTAATAAGAACCTTATTGATTTTTCCATTTTCATTTCAAGTTTTATCAATGCCTGAGTATTTAAATTCCAGACCATCGAAACTCGGAGATTACAGATTACCCCGGGAGGTAGATGTGATAGGAGATGGAAAGGAAGGGGAAAAAAAGGGAGTGGGTACCAGACTACCTCCCTCCCGAGCAATTTCTTCCCCTCCCGCTCCCCCCAGTTGCACCTGCCACAAATTGTGGAACAAACTATCTTTTTTGATTTATCAAAAACAATCTTTTCAAGTTTAATTTTTTGGCGTGAACGGAAATGAGGTATTTAGTGTTAGAAAGATCGATGCATTAATTTGTTTTTTTGTGCACCGACGTGTTTGATCGTGTGACGCCTTGCAGTTGCCCCCGCCTATAACTTTCACGATCCTATGAGATCTAGTGCGAACAGAAGAAGTATTGTTTAATGATAATTGTGGCAACCATATTACGTCATACGATTTATAATGGCATACACTGTATACTGGAAAAGTCAAGCATCAATTTTGCTTGTATAATTTTTTTATTGTGTATTCATTCTGGTGCCTATTTTCCATGTTTTTTCTTGCGGGTCTTTGAGGTCCGCGACTTCGGCAATTTGTTCCATCAATGGAGGCTTCCTATAAAATACACAAATTTATCAAAGCGATATCAAACTTATTTTAAGGAAGGAGCGATGTGTGATGCTCCGAGCTTTTATCGCTAGTAGGTCAATTTGAAGTATGTAGTTTGTTAGTAGAAACATATCATAACCAAACTCATAGTATTTTTTGTAGCTTTAACTTGAATAACCGTCGCCGGTTCTGAAACCAAAAGTTTGCCCTTCTTTAGCTGAACTTCGTTTTAGCTATCTTCGATTCCGCCAATGTTTGTGAACTGCATCAACAAGGCATTAAGTTAACAGTGGAAAACACTACCAAACATCGCACCTATGGACAAATTCAGATTGTCAAAAACCTTGGGGAGACCCAAGGAAGACTTCGTTTAGCCCTCTACACCCTAACATCGGTATGCACATTCCCCATACTGTGTGCTTTACATTACTCACGGTACAAACCCGAAGAAAGTTTTTTACAATCCAGAGCTCCATTCAGTTGAGATCTTTTCCTTTTTTGTCCTAACCTTAGCGTTTGATTTAGAAGTGATGTTGTAAGGAGAAAATTAGGTGTTAGTGACTTTGAGTTTGAAGGGTTTATTAACTGACCCAATTTATTTCCAGTTATGTTGATTCTTTAGTTCGAGACATTATATCAACGTATTTGTTATTCTTAATTATTCCTTAACTATATATACGATATTTAAAACCGTGTTGAGCAGTTGTTTTGCTAGCAGGGAGCACAATCGTCTTCCTCTTGTCACGCTTTTTCTGTCACGCAACATTGATTTTGTACCGTTGTGTGACGGAGAAAGTGGAGCAAAATCGGACCTTCTCTAAGATACAAATTGAGATAATGATTAGAATAGGAAATTTCTTTCAACTCGCTTGCAAATGCCTTGAAGCTCAAACAAATAAAAATTGAAAAGATTCAGTGACTGTTTAGATCCTTCTTTAGTGTAAAGATGTTTAGCATGGAAATGATCGCACACTGCAAGGATTGACCCAACAAATGCGGTATGTAACATTTTACTGTGTTTGATCGAGAATTCCGTTGTCTGAAATGTCCCTTGTAAAGAAGTGGATGCTGCTTTCCAGGAGATGAACTAACGCGAAAGTTACATTGGATACCTTTTCGTTTTTCGCTATCGAAGTGATGGCGGTTTCACCTGAGTCAGAGATGAGAGCGGGGTAGTTTTGTTCAGGAGTGTAATCTGTTCTCGTTTTACACGAGAACATTTCAGCCCAAAAAATCAAGGATAAGATCAGTGTATTGGTCCTTTAGAGCAATATTCATTCGAATGTCGAAAGTAATTTCAGTTTCAGTTCTCATTGGCTCTTGAGGAACTTTCCTTTCTGATTGGCCGTAGTAAATTCCATGATTTGGTTTCACAACACTTAATCTATAAGTGCTCCGATTGAAAATTACTGGAATGCATTCAACAGTTGTGAACGGTCAGGTTCAAAACATCAAACACTAAGTCAACCAAGTAATCGGTCGCTACTACTCTATCCATTCACTTTCGTCATCATGGCAAGAGGCCAAAAAAAAATACAAAAAAAAAATGGCAAGAGGCTCAGTTTGTAATAACTAAGATGCACTGCCATTAAATCTTGCACAAATTTTCTCCTGTTAGAAAACGAAAGAATAAATTGAACTTAACGCCTCCAGTTGAAATCCCAGCGCCCGTAATCTTCACTTAACACCCAAGCAGTCTACATCCGTGCCAAACATTTGTCCCTGCATTAGCCAAAGGTCTGCATATAACTCTCGCTCCTTTTTAGTTAACCTTCATGGCACCGATAGCTGACTGCAAACTGCCCATTGTTAACATGTGATAACGGCGACACGATGTCGCACAAACCTAATTAAGTGATTTTTTCCATGATATCTCCAATAATTTTTAATAATTACTGTTTTTCTAATCCCTTCTATCATCAAGTGACTTCTCGTCCAGTTCCTCGTTTCCAATAAAACTGTCTTAAAAAAGTTTTTTGTATACCGCTTTGATCTTCTTCTTTCCATTTACGCATTTACAATATTTTTACACCTTTGGTTTTCGTTTAGTTAATGTTTAATAATTTAAAAAACAGATATTACCTCGCAGCCGACGGGCTGAATTGCATAATATTTTACCATGATATACTACGTTATAATAGATACATACAGGAGTATAATACATGCCATGCTCGGACACGAACAAGACACGAAGAAAGGTGTCGTTACTGCAGCAAGTTCAGCGTTATCTAAATATTCACATTTCCCTTCGCCGTTTGCTAAATAAGAGTAATAAAATTTCTATTATTTTTGTGGTATCGTGGTCGCGGGTACGGCGACACACTGATGCTTTCTCGAATTCTCTCACCCTTATCACGTGATTCGTGGCACCTTAATCTAGATCCAAACAATTATCAACTTCTCCATACATTCCTTTTTCGGCCCTATCTGGTCAAAGATGACAGGCTCTTGTTTAAAAGCATCAGATTTGCTTTCTTCTTTCTTTTTCTTTGATTACCATTGATAGCATTCTCTTAAGTGGAGCGGCTTGTCATTTTCGAAAATAGCTCAGAAGTAGAGAATTTACACTCAGTCTTAAAAGTACAACACTCGATCTTAAAAGTGCAACACGGATTGTGTTTAGTGAGTTTCATGATTTCTTTATGTTAAGACATTGTGTACGGATTTGGTGATTATAGAGGCCCTTCAGGGCGAAAGATGTTGGCGACATAACGGGGAAAACTAAGAAGCTCGCAGCGACCATGATGATTCGCTTTAAATCTAATTCCCTCTCTGTGAGAAGGCAAATTCTGGCGAAAATCAATTCGCCCCCGAAACAAGTCGCACGAATTCAAATACTCGATAAAGAAAAAAGCAAAAGCATCGAAAAACCAGTAGACGAAGGGCTCTAACGAAGGGCTAACGCTCGAAACGTTAGCTTTTTAACTCTTTACGGTGGCCAATTTTCAATTTCAACTTAGTTGATGGTACTAAATTAAGTAGAAAATATGGCCAACTTCCCGGGAAGCGGGAAAGCCGTCTGCGACATCATCCAATCACAGAGCTTTTTTTAAATTTTGATAAATTTTAAAGACTCTTTGCGCTTTAACCCAATATGGGGTTTTAACGACGAGCGGTAAAAAAATACAGGTTTTCGTCATAACCCGATCAAAGCACTCATCATCTAAATTTTTTAGGTATAAATTCATCCATGACAGGCCGGAGTGATTTTCTATGCGTGCAGGCCAAGTTTTTGCGGCCAAGATTTCGCATTTTATATCACCGGTAATTCTTCATATGTGGACAAAGTAAAATAAAAGCATCAGAGGCAAAATATGCTAAAAAGCTCCATCGAAATCAACATTTATCCCTAGCTTGCTTCATGGACAAGAAACACCGCATGTTTATCTGGCCAGACGAATTTCAAGCTCTTAAACTGATGCAAGATCACAGGTTTGTTCCAGATCCAAATGAATAGTTAATTAAGGAAAAATTTGCTGAAATAAATTGGAAATAAAATCTCAAAGCAAACAATTTAGAGAAAAGCAGTTACGGTTTAGAAAAGACATACATTATGTAATTTAGCTTATCTAATCGGTCTTTGCTAAGAAAACCCAGGCATTGATCAACTTACCCTCGTGACGAAGTCAGTGTCATATCGCATGCCTTTGTTGATCAATCTTTTTTTTTTTTCGACGCGCACGATGGAAGCGAAACACAATCATCACTGGTTCACAAGGATAAGAAACACTAAAAAAAACATCTAGACACCTTTGATGTTTGAATAGGAATCTCGATCTAAGAAAAAAAAACACTCTCGCCTATAATGAACAAATATTATGAAAATGTTGACAAGAAGTTCGACGCAAATAAGATCAGAAATGTAATAAGAATTTATCATTGACAAAATTATCCAGCTATATATATCTCTATAACGCTGACCACCGAGACAAATTATCATCGCACTGAAAGGAACTTAATTAAATTATCATTTCCTAACTCATTTAGCATCTTCGACTTTGGAGAACTATGCTTGAAGGGGAAATAAAAACAGTGATGCCTTTGGAAAGCATTAAAAAACTGAATATATAATTTAAACAGGATTGTCGACCTCGATTCTAAAATCTCTCCATTACGCGGACAAAGTTCAATGTTTCTTGTGACGTTAAAATCGTTTTAAAACTTTAATTCTTTGTCTATTGTGCTCAAGTTAAAAGGATATGGACGAGGTTTGTGATTGGCAGTTGGAAAATTTGATTTAGTTTTCCATAACAATGTCTGCGGCCTTCAGAGTAGGCATAAAAAATAGCTTCCGTGCATCTGAGAAAACTGAATGAAAATAGGCAAGGTGTGGCGCCTAAAAGGTTACAAATCATTCAAAAGTTCGTATTTTGAATACTCTTTCAACAATTCAATCCATGCAAAACTTTTGTATTGGCTTAACTTGCTTCTTCTCAAATCCCCTTGTGCGTGTAACCAACGGCTTTTTGTACCGACAATGAGAAAAAAATAACAATAAAGTCAAATCTAGGCGCCCACACCACATAAATATTGTTTGGATCATTTGCAATTTTACAGCGGGCTAGAGGTTAAATGCTGATAGAATTTCATTCCGTAACGTGCGGTTGATACTTTTCATTTCTTTCGATAGTATTGACTGGCTCAATCGCACGTTTACTAAATTTTCTCCATTAGAAGCACCAAACCATTATTTTCAGTGTACTTTCTGTGATGTCACAATCACCGTTCACACGTCATGTAAAGTTCACAAGGAAAAATTCTACATTACCACTGAGATTGGGAATCGGGCGCCTTGACGCATTGCGCCGAAATTATCTCGAAGGAAGAATTGCGGGAACTGCGAAAAAATTCGACGAAATTGTTTCCATTTAAGGGAATGAATATTTTGGGTGAATACGTGAGCAGTGAACGCAACCAGATTTACGGCTTCATCTTTATCTGCCGAGGAAATGAAAAGAGATGAGTGAATTTCCCCCGCGTAACGATGAAAAAAGCTCGCAGAAAGAGGAATGTCCTTCGGACGCAATGCAGTCCGATATGGCACACAAGGAAACAGAAGTGGCAGCGACAGAACAAATTGAGGCCGGACAATCTTCGCTGGTCAATGATAAATCCGACGATAACGATACTTCGCCAAATGGAAAGAGGACCAGTGAATCTTCTTACGGAACGGAAAATTCTGTGTTGTCTTCCCATCAGAGTCTGCAAGCGTTGCAGGCGTTGAACAGCGTAAACCCGCAAGAAAGTGATGAAACACGAAGCGTGGAGGAAATAGAGATAGGCTTGTATGATGAACAAGGACCATTAAATGACGTTGCAATTGAAGAAGATGATCACGGAAGCATTCGAGAATGCGACTCTAGTTGCAGTAGTCCACTACTAAATGGCCATGTTATTCATAATGATGTTCACATCTCAACAGATCAACCGCAGGAAACTCATTCAGGGACAAGTAACAAGCAGCCGAAGGAAAACAGAAGATATTTTTCACTATTCTGTAGAAAATCCCGCACTTCACCGTCAAAAACGAACAGGTCCAATGGAGATGTAATTATTAATGTTGACGTCGAAGAAATTTCTATCCATGAGAGTCCGCGACCAAAATCGAAATCCTATTTGAACGATCGTTTGAAAGGCTGGTTTCAACCTATGGACAATAAAATGAACATGAAGGTTTTCGGGAGTAGAAGAGCCTTGGCAGACGAACTTGTGCGCTACAGTAAAGTGGGTTGGATTATACATCCGACTAGTGCATTCAGGTCAGGGAATAATCATTGTTTGCAAACTATGTTATCATTTTGTTTTTGCCCTTTAGTTTATTTTGTCCCTGATATTTTTGATACCATTTCTGTTGAACTTAAATGTTCGTTCGTTTTCTCAACCAAAGAACTTACTTTACTGTCCTTAAATGATAAAAACAGGAAGTTTCTCACTGAAACACTTTGTTTTTTAACTATATTTCACGCTGAATAATGCAAAAAAAAAAAAAATCACACACTTTTTTTTTTAAAGGGTTGGACTTGTCACGTCGAAACACATGTATTTCGCCACTGACCCCACAAAAACCTCAGCCCCGATAAGAAATAACTAAACTTCGTTAAAGGAATTTCAATCGCTTGCGATTCGCTATGCAGTGATTACTTCATGCGGCTGATTTCCGTACTTCTGTCTCTGGGTTAAGTTTAAATTTTAATGAAGTTCTATTTGCGTACGTACTAGTTCCTTGATTACGGTTTTTTCCGTATGCAAATCGAAATAGTCACTTAAAAAACCTGTGAAAACTCTATGTCCTCTTTTGTTATTTCTTTTTCACTAAGGTTTTTAGGTTAACAACAGTCGCAAACAGATGATCTTAAATTCTTTTATTGTGACTCATAAAAGTTTTTCTTGCCTTTTTTTTTTTTCTTTTTTGACGCTCCACCAGAATCAGGATTTTATAAAAAATTTTAAAAAATGTATCCGCGAAGTAGGTTTCTGAGAGCTATTGATGAATTGTTTAACGAATTTCATTTACGGTCAGGTAGAGATTTTATGAAGTGATGATTTATCATATTTAAATCTTTAGGTCATATTGCCAACAGGATAAGCTGTCAAATAGCCTTGTTTAATTAACGAACCCAAGGAGTCGAAACGTTTCGAACAGTCACTCAAGTAGATTGCGAATCGCTCGTGCGGCGGATGTGAAATATTTACCGATTTAAAAATGCCATTTATCTTTAAATGGAATGAGGTTAATTTTCAAGAGGACAAAGATATTTACAGATTGTTTAGTCTACAGGAAAAATTAAAAATAACATAGCTCGTGTGACGATTTTTTCGTGTTTTATGGTCATATTTCATTTGGAAAAATATGATTTACGCTCAACTATCGGCTGAGATTAGCTGAGATTACAAGCTTCTTCACTAAGGTTTACTCCTCTCGTTATTTGGTCGTTTGTAGTCAGTTGTGATAACACACACTGTATCCGCACTTGAGGAAAATCATTGCTGTTGATGTAAAGCGCAGAAGACTGCGCATTATTGAATAAATGATCGTGAAGTTTCGCAAAAAGGTGTAAGTTGTTATGGATCATGATTGTTTTTAGATGATTCCCCCGCTTCGATCACCCTTTTCTGCAGGAGTGATATTTTCTCTCATTTTATACTTTCGTTACAGTGTATTGTGAAAATGTATTGCGTATTGTGAAAATGTACAGTGTATTGTGAAAATGACACTCTAAAAGAGCCTTGCAATCTACCCTATACATGTAGCCTGTGCATGCACTTTGGAAACGGGGGATTTAAAGTTCTGGCTAGGTCTGAGACAAAAAATTCATTTTCATGCTGAGAATGGAATGGAAGGGACCGTACAAAAGGTTTTCACCGAAATCGGTTAACGTTTCGAAACGTCCAGATTTCGCATAACGAAAGAAAAGAAAATCCCGTTTGGCGGAAGTTCCGTAACCCTCTTTGCTCTGGAAACGAAAAATTATTCATGAAGTGTCCATTTTTAAACTGTAAGAGAAAGAAATGACACTCAAGCCTTATTGAAAACTGTCTTTCAATTTATCTGGGTTAGCGCTTCATGTAACAGAACGAAATCTGAAAATTACTCAAAGCACTTATGCCATCGCAGGTACGTTGCTCCGTTTAATTGCCCTTCAATTGTAGCGTAAGCGCATTATTAAACAGAGTATCCATGAAAATTTGAGTGCTGTAAGTTGTTTCCTCTCTTAACACTCTCTCTTTGTATTTTAAAACCTTGGTTGTTTTTGAAGGGATTATTGGTAATCATACTTTGCTTTTAAGTGACTCCGAACTTCTCTAAACGTATGTATGTTTGCAATTTAATACAGGCATTGGGCCTAACATATCTCTGACTGTCCAATAAAAACTGTAATCGAATTATGATTCTAGGAACAAAACCTGCTAAATTTAATCAGTCTTCTCTAAGATGGGGCTTCTAGAGATCTTAAGCATTTCTAAATGTTAGAAGCCGTCCTAACATTTGGTTACAATCACAAGTTTGAGATTTTTATAAACAAGTGGTGGGCTCCCAGAAACCTGAGTTATTTCGGCGGGAAACGCAATATACGACGAGTTTTTACCAAAACATACGGCGTAGTTACAATAACAAGACACGTTAGGTTTTCGCTCTGGAAAGGCTCAGTATTGACTGATAGCAATGAACGAGTGGTAATTGCTGCTAATAGAAGAGTACAGTGATTCGAACATTTCTTTCGTATGTAGATAAAAAAGCGTGATTTCAAGTTCCGTGGTTGAAATCGTACTAAAATCTTAAGATATACACTGGCAACAAAAGTTCCCAACTTTTGCTTTGACATTTATAGTAATTTTGATCCTTTTAATTTTCAGGCTCTACTGGGACCTTATGCTTCTTTCGCTGCTGATCGTGAATATGTTCGTTCTTCCTGTGGCGATTGCTTTTTTCAACGACGATATGAGTCCGTCGTGGATTGCTTTCAACAGCATTTCTGACGGAATCTTTCTCTTGGACATTGTTCTGAACTTTAAAACTGGTGTGCTTATACACGGCACACCGAACAAGTTTATCCTTGATCCGAAGAAAATCGCGATACGGTAAGTGAAATTTATGAATTTCTGGAAATTATTTTTTCTCAGCCTAGCCGACATTTGTTTTTCTGAAAATTTGTTTCACCACTATGATAATTTCATATGAAATATTAACTCTGAGGGAGGGTCATTTTTACTATTAGCAATCTTTCTGGATATTCAAGATAACGTGTTCAATTAACAAGTCAAACACCTCCACTGCCAAACAACAATTTCCCCTTTGTATTTTGATTACCAAACCACGCCTTAAAAGTTTAATGATAATATAAGTAAAATGGGCTCAAAGATTTTTACCCTTCAGCCATATGCACGAAAAAATATTGTGGCGCAATTGTTTGGCACTACCTATTATTCCCAGTGCACCCTTACCATCAATTTTACGTCTTTCTTTTCGGTTTCGAAACATTTTAGCAAAAACCGCATTCACTGACTTGACCCGTTTTACATAAATTTTAATGCAGAGTGTCTAATTTGATTCATCTGTGAAACATCCGCCCATATTTTATGCCAAAATAAGACTGAAAACAGTTTTTTCAGGGGCATGCCAAAATTGGCAGCGTGCTGTCTCAGTGGCATCGTTTGTTACTGTGGTTGTTGTTGTATTTTAACAGAACTACCTATTAGAATTTCGGAATTTTTAAAGAGTAATTTTCATAATTTAATTTCTTTTTCTCCCGTCCCTCCTTTGAATGTTTTTGTATTCAAGCCAGCTGCGACGCGCATGTTCCCATCACTGAGCCAATTATGTCCAGAGAGCTTGAATTATCTTGAATCTTAAGATCGCACTAGTTTTTAGTTGTTTGCTACCTTAAGCTTGAAGCTGTGCAGAGTTTAAGACTTTCGAAGGCTCGCTGAACAGCTAACTTCTCGCCATGCATTTCCTGTGGTACAGACAGTCAGAAAGTTCTTAAGTTGACGATCATTTCCTTTATTCTAATCACCTTACTGTCTGATTTCGTAATGCTACTGTAAGAAGAAAATAGATTTAAATCAATCTTGGGAGTTAAAGGATAAATTGACAGAGATTGGACTCAAATCTCACTATGGCCCACTTTCTTGGCACTGTGAAAAATTTTAGGGCCGGCTAATTACTCGAAGTCTAACCCAAACCACGGTTTTACGCAGTCAGAAGGCCTCAGGCTTTCTCTATAGGAGGTTTGATTCATATCCAATTAATTTCCTTTCACTGTTGGCTCCGACCTCTTGACGCAGTTAGAATGAGCTTTATTTACCCAGGGAACATGATTCAGCAGTCTGTTCTCCCAGGTGTCCCTCAGGGGTGTGGCAAGTCATTTTTGGCTTGTAAGCGTGTACCATACCTCGTAAGTCTTGTGAAGCCGCGGAAGGTATATATATTCTAAGAAAAAATTAACATTCCGAGAAAAGTTTGTAAGCCCGGGTTTACTGGCTTAAAGGGAGCTACGTGCCTGTAAATAATAGTTGATATAAAAGGTTCAGATAAAGTGCGGACTGTTTTTATGACGCGATTCTCTGTCAAACAAAGTCTAAACTTTTTTGAAATAATCCGACCTTAGACTTTGAACTTTAAAAGGTAACGTAACAGTTACTAAAATTTATTGCAACAAATATCCACGCAATTCCTAATACGAATTACAAGTGGTGTCTTTTCACAGGTACGCCAGGACATGGTTCCTTATTGATCTGCTTTCTTCGTTCCCGTTTGATTACGTCGTTTCCTCGGCGACAAGCTCAGGTTCCGGACGATTGTTGAGTGCATCCAGGGCATTGCGCATTCTGCGCATGGCAAAACTTCTCAGTTTATTGCGCCTGCTCAGAATATCACGTCTTGTGCGTTACGTCCATCAGTATGAGGAGGTATGTGAAATTGTCGTCGTAGTCTTTATCAGTTTTGTAACTCGTAGAAGTTATGATGGCCTTGACCAAGCAATGTAAGGACCCCCGACTCCAGCTCTGTCTTGGAGGACAGAGCTGAATAACGCATACGCATGCGCCAGGTTTTGCCGCGGAAACACGGATTTTGAGTCGTTCGCATGGTCGATTTCCTATTCTGTTGCTTCGAGGCGTCGTTTTCCTTGCCGCTTTTCTTTTACAGAACAACCTCCAAAAATTTGGTACAACCCCTTAAAATTTTCAAAAATTAATTTTCTCATTTAAACCTTTGGAAATAGGAAAGTGCCTTCGACGAAAACAGAGTTCCTCAGTTTTAAAGGTCAACCTTCATTATTTTCCGCTAATTTCGCTAAATTTTAGACCTAGGATACTTGAGCCCGCGTTGTTGACCGCATACCCGCTGACGTAGCATTTCATTATTCAGCTCTGTCGTCTTGGAGTCCTTGTGTTTTGCTCTGGCAAAAAATCTTTCACTTACATGTGTGCGCAGCTGTGGAATGGATTACCTACAAGTGTAAAACTGGCCAATAATATCAACCTTTTTAAGAAGCTATTGAGAACATTAAAACTTTAGCTGCCTCTCCATTTTATACTTGTATTTAAGTGACTCAATTTTATTGTACAAACTTAATTTTTAATCTTAATTTTAAATTATTTAAGCTTTTGCTTCACCATTTTATACCTGTATTTAAGTGACTTTGAATTTTACTGTACAAACTTAAATCTTAAATTTTAATGCTAATTGTTAGTTATTTCAATTTCTAATCAATTAGGTCTGACAGTATGTATTAGGTTTTTTAGATTCTTAATGTTAGAGGTGTACGTATTTTGAACGAGCTCTATGAGCTCCTTGACGCTACGTGGGTAAGTAAAGTATTGATTGATTGATTGATTGATTGATTGATTGATGGGCTTCGAATTTTTTGACCATAATCTCACTTTTTTCTTTATATCTGGTGTAACTTCAAACAGGTTTTAAATGTGACTCGTTCAGTCATCCGGTTCGTAAATTTGATAAGCTTGATGATGTTGGTCGCGCATTGGAATGGTTGCATGCAGTATCTTGTACCAGTCCTCAACGATTTCCCGGCGAACTCATGGGTTATGAATCATGGCTTACGAGTAAGTATAGTTCTCAATTTAAACAGAAGTCTTTGAGATGATTGGCAATGAGCTGCAGACACAGAAAGAGGACCTAAAGAGCGAAGATTATTAATTCCACGGCATCTTTCTGAAGTTAATTAGTTGTCACATTATATTGAGAGAGAGAGAGAGAGAGAGATTTTATTTCCAAGCAAATATCAGGTGGTTATTACTAGGCTGGCTTGCAAATAGCGAAGAGCAAGTCGCGGCAAGCCAGACAATTGAAAAGTAATTTTACACAATTTTACATAGTAATATTCACAAACAATTACAACATGACAGAGGAAAGAGGAAAACTACAGACTAAAGAGACTAGAGACTAAACATAATTACAGTTAGAAATTATCCTTTCATNGGTTGCCAGTTAATGTTTTGAGTATTGCATGCTCCCTTACTGGGGCAAAGTGGATAAGACGGAGTACGCGTTTTTGTACGACAAAAATACTATTTAACAAGGTCTTAGATGCAGTTCTCCAAGAAGTTAATCCATATACGTTATAAAAGGTGCAATGCGGGGATTTATAAATATCAAGAAGAGTTCGATTAGGAACTAAATTTCTTAGCTTAGCAATTAGACCGACATTTTTACTTAGTTTTGTTGCAAGAGTATAGATATGGTTTTTCCAACTTAGATTTTCATCAATCAGTAACCCAAGATATTTAATGCAATTCTTATGCTCAAGAGTAACATTCTTATTTTCTTCATTGTCAAAAATATCAATTTGTGGCTGGTATTTAAGTTTTTTTTGGTATGGGTGAAAAATAACAAAGTTTGATTTCTTTCTGTTAAGTGTAAGTTTATTTGCGGTTAGCCAATTGAATAGTTTGTTAAATTCAATATTTACAATTAATTCCAATGCCTTGAGATTTTTGTGAGAGTATAAGACATTAGTATCATCTGCAAAAAGAAAAAAATTAAGTTTCCTGGAGCAATATTGTATATCATCGACATATAGCAAAAAGAGGAGTGGCCCTAAAACGGACCCTTGGGGTACACCACAGCTAGCTAGTTCTTTGTTAGAAATATACGAGTTAATCTCAGTTGTTTGGGTACGATTAGTTAATTATGAGGAAAACCACTGATTGACAATTCCTCGGAAGCCATAATAATTAAGTTTCTCAAGTAATATTTTATGGTCTACCGTGTCAAAAGCTTTCTTAAGGTAGATGAACACTCCACAAGAAAAAATTCTTTTATCCATATTGGTACGGATGGATTCCACCATTTCAAGTATAGCATATTCAGTTGAATGTGCTCGGCGAAAGCCATATTGGGATAAAGATAATAGTTGGTGTTTTTCTATGAAAACTTTCATTCTATTGTCACATAATTTTTTAAAAAATCCTGTTGAAGTTTGACAGTAATGAAATAGATCTATAATTGCAGGCATCTGTTTCATCATCAGTTTTGTAGATGGGTATAACGTTGGACATTTTCAGTTTATATTACCGATGTCAATCGATTTTACGGGCCACCGCCATACAGGAGACACTGATGATCCTAAATTGTAAATATCAAACGTAAAAATTTCCTCGAACAAAGAACCAATATAGGGAACGGAGACTTCACTGAGCTTACCTTTATCACTGTGAGCCCCAACCAAAGCGCCAATTTTAATAACTTGCACAACAAAAAGCCGCGCGAGCGTAACACTTAGTCGAACGCGCGACTTTTGTACTTTGCTCAAACCCTCAGCAGACAACTTTCAACTGATTTTATCGTTACAGCAATGCGTAAAAGATCTATGAAAAAATAAATTTCATTTCTTCTGTCAAATTAACGAGAATAAATGAAATGTTGTCCGAGGGTTTGAAGTTCTGAAACCAAAACTTTCACCGTCAACGAGTCGAAGAGGTCACTCCTTCCTTTCCTCTGCACGCAAACGATTACTTAAGATTTATGCGTTTCCTGTTTTTTGTTTAGGACAAGGCATGGACGGAGCAGTATTTATGGGCTCTTTTCAAGGCTTTATCACACATGCTATGCATTGGATATGGAAGACATCCTCCAGCAAATATCCCTGAGACTTGTGTTACAATCACCAGCATGATGTCTGGTGCCACGTTTTACGCGCTTTTTATTGCTTATTCCATTAACGTTATCCAAACCATGGATTCACCAGGTCGACATTACAAGGAAAAGGTAAGAGACATCGACTGAACCAGATGTCCATTGATTAAACTGAATGCATCAGTCGTTGACAAATAATCAATAGTGACTCACCAACTCAATGACTGACTGATTGGCTGA